AGGTATAGGGGGAGTGGAAGGCTTCTTTTAAGATTTTTTTCTCCTATATTAATAAGCTCTTGTATGTCAGGGGAATGTTTATAGACCCTAAGAATGTCATTAATAATCAAAAAAGGCTTTAAGGTCTTTTTTTCTTTACCCTAGTTCCTTGTATCTTGAGGGGCTCATTTAGGCCAGAAATGAATAAATCTTGTGACAAAGTTGCCTGTCCCATGGCTCGTCACTTTCTTACATGCATCGTCTCCGCTCTCCTCTGGATCGCGTCCTGAACTGGGCGATTTCAGGGGGATCCAACAACTTCACCAAGGCCTTGGTCTTCCTCCGGGAGGCAACGTTCCGAATCCTCAAGTGGTGGTTTCATCCACATTGGGCACCAGTTGCCCAGCCTGCAGGGCTACAACAGGTTCTCGACCACCCTAAGGATTGAATGTAGGGACAGGAGATACAAAGGAAAGACACCAAGTCTAGATTCTGATCAAGGTGCAACTTTATTTTTCTCCAAAAGGGTTTATATAGTTCCTGCAGGGTGGGGGGAGCAAGAAGCTGTCATCTGCATAAGGTGGAGCAAGCTAACAGGATGTTTGTATAGGATATTTACAGGGTGAAAGGGTCAAGGGCTCTGACTCAATGTCCTGTTGCTAGGCAACCTGACTGTAAGATGATCTAGTTTCCTGTCTTATCAGGGGTCTGTATTTCTCCACTAACTAGAGATTCTGTCCTTGTCCCTGACATGCTGGCACTCTATTCTTTTGTAAAATACTTATAAATTCACTGCTGAGTCTGGCACCACATAATGATCACATATTAACATTTACAAAAATAAACTTTTAGATGTTATGAGACAAAAGTCCTACACATTTGATAATCTTTACTCTTAGTTTTTGGATGTCTTTTGTAGTTATGTTGTTTCTTAATAAAAATATTCAGTTAAACCTTAATTTTGATACAGTTCATTAATCTGGCTTTCAGTTAGTGAATTAAGGGTATTTACATATGATGTAGTTACTGAGCCATTCATATTTGCTGTTTGATTGAGGGGATTTGGATTAAACTTCTGGTTAGTTCTGAGTTGTTTGGCTTCACAGTTGAATATCCATATAGAATATTTGAGTAATTCCTGGAGAAGGTACCTGAATTGGCTTACTCCAGTAATCAGATCAGAGAATACTATAACTGTCATCATAGAGCCTACATCTAGTGACTGATGGAAGCAGATGCAGAGATCCACATTAAGCACCAGGCCAATCTATGGGAGTCCAGTCAAAGAGAGAGAAGAAGGATTCTATGAGCAAGGGCATCAAGATCATGATAGGGAAACCTACAGAGACAACCAAACAAAGCTAGTGGAAACTCATGAAATTTAGACCAACAGCTGTGGAGCCTGCATGGGTCTGGACTAGGTCTTCTACATAAGTGAGGCAGTTGTGTAGCTTGGTCTGTTTAAGGGGCCCCTTTGGCAGTAGGATCAGGATCCATCCCTGGTGCATGAGCTTTCTTTTTGGAGCCCCCTACCTATGGTAGGACACCTTGCACAGCCTTGACACAGGGTAAGGGGCTTGGACCTGCCTCAACTGAATACACCAGGCTGTACTGACTCCACACGGAATGCCTGCCATTTTAGAGAAGGGAATTGGGGGATGAGCTGGGGAAGGAAAGGCTGGGGGGTGCGGGAGAAGGGATGAGAGGGGAAATCTGTTGTTGGTATGTAGAATGAATAAAAATATTCTTAACAAAGAAAACAAATTCAGACATCTCTTAGAATGCACAGCTTATAAACTTGATCTGTCCTAAGTATAAGGCTAGAAACTAATTATACTTTTAGTATGATATCTAGTGTGAAAATAAAAATTAGAACTAGCAACTAAAACTTCAGGCACAAAATCATAAATCACACTGGAACAAGACCTGTGGAGTTTGTGTCCTGATGACTGGTGGGGGAAGCAAAACAGTTTGACCACACAGCTGTTATGACAGGCAACACCTGGACCCACGATAAGCCATGAGCTGACCCCACCCATGGGGTCCACATCTAAGAGGAAATACCTCACATTCCAAACATTCCCCATACCAGACAAATGTCAGTCAATCAGGAAATCCCTTCACCCAACCTCTGCTAGAATAAAAATCCACACCCTTACCAAAGGGTGGTGGTGGCAGCGGCGGCGGCGGCGGCGGCGGCGGCGGCGGCGGCGGCGG